ACAAAGAGGCAGGGCAGATAAGGCTCAGAGGACCTTAGGAATCAGTGGCAGGGCAGATAGTAGGGCATGGAGGCAAGCTGTCTCACCAGAAGGATTAGAACTGATTACTCCCATTTTATCTAAATGGTGTCCATAGTCAGTATTCTGACTGGCCTCCCAATCAGCACCCTTCTAGCAGTTGAATCACCCTGATTGGTTCAAGTAAGAAGTGGTGCTGGAGATAAACTTTGAAGAAAACTAGAGATTTTGGAATATGCTTTATAGTTTGTAATATACATATACATATACATAAATATATATGTATATTATATATATATATATATATATGTATAATATTATTATGACAGTCATAGTAAACCCAGGAAGACCTGGGTTTAAATTCTGCTTTGCTGGCAAATCCCTTAACTTCTTAGTGTTCTAATGCTATAAGATTGTATGTAGCAGAGAAGGTGTAGCCCTGTATTGGTAATCACAGGGTTTCCTATCTTTATTTGCAAATGAAGAAACAGAGAGATAAAGTAACTTATTCATTTATCACACAGGAAATTGCAGAATGGGAACCTAAACGCAGATTTCCTGATTCCTAGTCCAGTGCTCTTTCCACAATACTTTCTAGCTTTAATACTTTATGACTCTATAGTTGAATGAACATAGTTTAAAATGACACAATTGAATTGAGTTAAAAATTAGGCTAATAAAATATTTCCATCTACTTGAGACGAGTTATCCTTGATATATGAAATGCTATAGTATAATATAATGTCATAGATGTATAAATAATATTATAAGTGACCTAGTCCAAGTCTCCCATTTTACAGATCAGGAAAGAGAGTCCCAGAGAGCTTAAGTCAGAGAGGTAGTAAGTGGCAAAGTGACTCCAAGTTTAGCATTCCTTCTCCTGTATCACACTACCTTCCCTGTCTAATAAATTGGACTTCAGGTTTTCTACTACCTAATTATATTATCTAATGTTATATTGTATTCTATCAGATCTAAAGCCACTTTCTGTCCAATAATAATTATGTGAACATCATCTTGCATTACTGAAACTGTTGATTCTGATTTATGAGTCATTAGATAAGAAATATAAACATAGTTTTCTGTTTATACCCAAAGAGGCTGGGAGGAATCCAGAGAGGTAAAAAATAAATATGCTGACATATACATATTAAACTGTTTGAAGTACATGGGGCTAAAAGAAGGCTAGTTAAAGCACAGTTCTTGAGGGGTTTAAAAACATCTTACAGTTTGAAGAGGGAAAAAATTAAGTGGCAAAACTTGTTTTTCCTGGCAGATAGGCACTTGATCAATGCTTGTGGACTGAATGATTCCAAGTTTCATATTACACGATATCAGACCAAACCTGATGAATTCCATTTAAAAAGATTGTGGATGGTGGTAAGATGAGCTCCTTTGGATTTGAAATATAAACAAATTACCATTTGGAGATCATAACAATATTTTTGTTCGGCTCATGCTCAGTGGGAATTCTCACAAGATATAAGGAAGCATTAAGGAACTTAGCTACACGTATTAATTGTTTCTGCTTCTTATCTCCACCAACCCAATTTATATGCAGTGTTTTCTCTGTATGTTTACTCCCTTTATCATGTTCCTTCAACATTACAAATAAAATAGAGTCAGATAAGACTGCCAATGTATCTCAGCTTTATTTGTCTATTTTTAAAAAGCACATTTTGTTAAAAGAGAAATATTACCATCTTGTAATATCCAGGAAGGGCTATTAGTAGAAATATATTTATTATTCATATACATACCTTGTTTACATTAAGGTAGTTGAAGTAAGAAAATTCATTTTTTCCCTATAAAACTTATTTTTCAGAACCATTTCCTTCTCTCTCCCAAAAAGGAATCAATATGGTTAAAAATGGTGATATTACTCAAAAAGACCAGGGGTCTATGTTTTCCAACTGCTGGGGACAAATAGTCCGAGATTCAGTAGATGAGACTCATACTAGTGCCTGGGGCAAATAATGTCTCCTAAAATTATGTAGATGCCAATGGAACAGCTAGCCTGCCATCTCTTATCCCTTGCTTTAAAGTGGGTATTGACCCACTTCTTTTTCTGGTCACATATCTCCTTTATATTGTGTTTTATGCTACTTCATGTGCATAATTCTTTGTGAATAATATGCTGTAACTTATTTGTATCCATAATATAGCTTTACATTGTTGCTTAATTTTGAATTTTCAAAGAATGTGGTGTTTTGTGATTCATCGCTCTTCATCTGAATTGTTGTGCTGAAAAGATGAATTTTTGTTTCAGGGAGACATTTGGGTTCATTAAAAGTACTGCACAATTTCACAAACACACTCTATTCTGTTCCCCCCCTCCATTAAATTTTGGATCTAGTTTATCATGTGTTTGCAGAATTTATCCAGCATATATAAAGGAACTGATACATCAGCTCTTTGGGTTTACAAGAGTTATTCTTTATCTACTTGGTCATTCTGGTATTGAGAATTAATCTAAACTTTTTGAATGACTATAGATTTCATTTAGGAGGCTCTACAATATTCTAAAGCTTAATTCAATTAGTATGATGTTTTTGACACACATAAGTAATCAGAGGATTTCTCCACCTATAGGAGATCCCTTTTCCACTTTGGCTCTGCATTGAGCATTGTCCATGCCACTGGTAAATATCTTTAGTAAGCATATATTTCCATGGTTCCAATTTGCATACAAGATAGTCTTTTCCACAAAGTAATAATTCAGTTTCCATTAGAATAATCAATTACTGAAGCCAAATATATAACTAAGAATCCTCTTAAAAGGGAAACATGTTGACACTCAAGAAAGAAGGAAAAGAACTTGATTTTCTAACTGCATAAGGAATACAGAACCAAGCTTCCATAGTCAACTTAGAAAAACTAAATGAAATACATTCCTGTTCTGTCTCCTTCCTATGTTCCAATAGAGAATATTCTAAGATGACTATTCTCAGCTCAAGCCATCTACAGAATACTATTCCACACATATTAAACTCTTATTATATGCAGAATAGTGTATTTAGGAAGACATAAGGCATACATAATATATGGTTCCTAACTTTACAGGGCTTACAGCCTAGTAAGACATTGTTAACCATTAAGGATGTGTAAATTCCTAGTTTTTTTTTTACAAGAAACCTTTCTTAGTTACAGTGCCTTCCCTCTGCTAATTATTTCCTATTTATCCTAATATACATCTGGCTTCATATATATTTATTTACATGCCATCTCCCCCTTTTGATTGTAAGCTCCTTGAGGGCAGGGACTGTCTTTTGCCTCTTTTTGTACCCCCAGTGCTTAGCACAGTGCCTGCACATAGGTGCTTAATAAATGTTTATTGATTAAGTGAAGAAGAACATTACAAATTGGGATCATGGAAAGCTTTCTAGAGGAGGTAGAACTTAAATTAGATTAAAGGAATGGTATAGTTTTAACGTGTGTGTGTGTGTGTGTGTTGTGTGTGTGTGTGAAGGAGGTAAGAGGTAGAAAATATCATTCCAGTCATATGAAATAGTATGAGGAAAGCGCAGAAGTGGTAAAGTATGGCATGCATTTGGGGGATGGCAAGTATTGTGGAAAAGAGTAATATGAGATAATTCTGGAAAGAAAGAGTGATATGATATTGTGGGAGGATTTAGAAGCTAAGCAAAAGAGCTTGAACTTTTTTGTAGGTCAGGTGAAGAGTTCTGAGCAGAGGAAAGACATGATCAAATTTATGAACAAGGAAAATAAGTATGGCAGAGATGTGAAGGATGATTTGGAAAGGGAAGGGCAGGAACAATTTAATAAGCAATTGCAGGTGGAAATGAGGGACTGATTAAAGTGGAAGTAGTGGGAACAGAGAAGGGACATATTGGGGAGTGGAGATAACTGATAAATCTCGATAACTGATTGAATATGAGAAGTGAGGAAGAAGAGAGAGTTAAAGATAACTCCAAAGTTTCAAACTAGTAGTGTCATTGAAAGAAAAAAATGATGTCAGAAAGAAGAACAGGTTCAGGATAGAAGAAAAGAGGGCAGAAACAGTATTTGGATGTTCTATAGAAAAGTGACTAAAGAACTGGGGGGAAAAGTTAAAAATGGGGAAGTTAGAATACTGAAGAATAAATATTTTGGTTAAGCTGTATATGCTTAGTCAGAAAAGGCTACAGGTCACCTGTCAATCTTTTCAGCTCTGAAAAATAAGTGGATAATAACATCATTAATAGCAACTTCTGGGTAATGGTCAGCAAAACCCCCACAAGTATACATAAAAGCTAGGACTAAAAAAATATGGAAAATCTGACAGAGAAATCAAAAGCAGAATGGATGATAGAAGCATTTAATTTGAATAGAACATATACTAAACTAAATATAACATTTATTTAGAAGTATATATTTCAGCACAAAACCCAGAAGCAAGCAAGAGAGCTAAAGCTGCAGGTTAATAAATAGGAAAAAAATTATTTATGTCATGGCTTTTCAGATGTTGAATTCTCTTTGAAATGTTAATCTAACCAAAGTGATAAATTACAAGGAGAAAAGCTTTTTTTCTTTAGTACTTTGCAGAAGGCACAAGAAAATACTCACTGGAACAAACCAGCTTTGCTCTCCTTCTTGCTGAGAACTTTTGCCGGTCTTATATCATCCCAATCGTGCTGTAGTTCAGTCATTAGGCCCTTCTCGGGGGAGCTCTGCGTGTGCTCCGTGGGCCTGCGGCTCCACCTCGTCTTCCTTTTCTTTCCCTTTCCCCCAACCCTACACTACAAATCAACTGACATTAGCTATAACTTTCCACCACTGTGCTGTCACAAAACCCTTCCTTTAGCACTTTATGCATCCAACTGAGGTTCAGCCTTTGTTTCGGTTTAACTGGGACAAGTTTTCATTGGTGCTATTGGTCGAATTGGGTATTGAAGCTAGAGAGCAAAGGGGAGGGCAGATGAGAATTGACAGTTTCTTTCCCCAACCCAAGAGGAGATGAAGAAAAAAAAAGAAAACCTGTTCCGCAAGTCTTTCTGGAACAGGAAACATCGACTAGGGCGTTTAAAACAGTTGACTAACAAGTCACAATATGTTTAGCTCTTTTAAGAGATGTTTATTTCTTTCTACCATGGCTATAAAATGGGGAATTCCAACTTCAGCCACGATGGGTGACTACAGGAAATGAATAAGGCTGGGTGAGGTTAAAGCAACCAAATAGTTTGCCAGATTCACTGTGTGGCTCTTAATCTGCAGCTTAAATTATTCAAACAGGATATTGCCTCATTGAGTACTGCCTCCTCATTGCTTAAACACTAGATCTGCTCAGTTTTTCATGTGGGAATGACATAGGTAAAAAGAAATAGCAGATATGTGCAGCTGCCTGGTTAACTCTTCAGAAATGGGTAGAGGTGGGTATTTGAATGAGATTCGGAAAAGAAAATTAATGAATCTACCTTACTTTTTTTCCAGAAATATTCGATGTTTCTATCTCAGGTAAGAAAATATTTTGAGTTGTATTCGGTAATAACTAATTGGAATTGGAAGCATATGCATTTGTTAGTATACCAAATAATCTATTGGAGAGTGTTTTGTAATTTTCAATGGGGTAATAAGTGAGAATTTGTAATTAGCAGTAACCATTGCTTTAAAAACTTTCATAAAGTAAGGAATAACAGACATGGGAAATTTTTTTTCCCCACAAATAGTCAACTTGGTGTGGCAAACACTTAAGGCATTTTTAGTTTAGATTTTAAGTTTATATCCATCGCCATGCCATTCTCCACAAGAGGGACAAGGGAAAAAGGTAAAGAGTGATTATGTAATAGCTGAAACCACCCCTCAAATCTCCTCTTAATTGCCAAGGATCCTCTCTCAACTTATTCCAGAACTAACTCATCTGCTTAAAAAAAATATGTCAGGGGTAAGGCTTATCCACTCAGCCAATCATGAGATATGTTCTGTGTGTTTCCAGTTGCCTTCATCCAGTGGACAAGGCCATATCTAGAATCTTCTCAAGGAGCACGTTCTTTGCAGTCTAATATCTCACAGGGTGGTCATTCACTGTCTGAAAAGGACGAAGTCTGAATTGTGTGCCTGCATGAATGAATTAATTTAAAAAAATTATTAAGGACTTACTATGTACTAAGCACTATAACACTCATAGGGGAGTAGTGGCCAGGCAGCTATATTTTGGACTGCAAAGTTCCAGGGATGTTTGTAGATGAGTAGATGATGAGTAGATGTGATGGGGGGAGTAGGAGTCAAGGGTTCAATTGCTGATTCTGTCACTTGATCTCTTTGGACTTCAGTTCCTTATCTCCTTGAGATGGTTGGACAAGACTGTTTTTAAAGTCCCTTCCAACTATAAGTATATAATCCTATGATTATAGTTCCAGAACTGGATAAGGTGGAGGGGAAGTAGATGTCCAGAGGATGTCATGGAACCTGAAGAAAAGGTAGCTGGAGAGTAAAGTGTGGCTTGAGCCAAGGACAGATGCAATGGGCAACTGGGGGGGGGCGGAGACAAACAATCCTTACAATATAATAGTCTGGGGGAAGATTTAGGAAATGGAGGTGAGAACAGTTGAAGTGACTGGAGGAAACTATTTCATAGGATCTTAGATTTGGGAGCTGGAAGAAACCTTAGAAGTAATCTAATCTAACTTCTTCATTTTTATAGATGCAGAGAACTGGAGCACAGGGAAGTCAAATGACTTGTCCAAGGTCACACAGGTAATAAGCAACAATGGAGTAATGTGAATACAAATCCTCTCACTAAGAAGTACATTGGCTGGGGAGGAACCTGAGAGACTGAGGCTGAACTTTTAAAAAAAACCTAAACTTTTGTATTTTAAAAATGAGACTTTGTTCCAACATGATTGATTTATTAGGGAACATTTTGATTTATTAGGGAAAATTTTATTTATGGAATTATTTATGTATTTCTTAAATATTTAACATGTATAAAACTGTGCTTTTTTTTTTATTAAGTTGCTATCTTTTTTTTCTGTGTGTTACTCGTGAGGTTTTGGAGCACTGTGCCTCTAACTCCATTTTCCCCACAAGTTCTAAGATTTATATTGCATGGCTTTTTGGTACTTTTTGTGAACCACATATATTGTGGTATAGCAGAACTAGCTGTATCTTTTGCTTTCACATAACCTAATTTTCCCCCTGGTAGGATCAAATCGGTTTCTTTTTCTCCCTCAGTCCATCATTGATTTTGCTAAAATTACTTTTTGTATCATTGTGGATCTTTTTATCCTTGTATTACAAATCTTAGGAAATTAACATCATTAATAGAAAAGGCAGCTAAATACTTATCCAGGACAGTACATGTGTTCTAACTGCCATGTGTGAGTAGTCATCTCTTCAGATGGAGTAGGAGAGGGTATCTTAGGCCTGTCAGTGGGGAAGAGGATTGCAATTAACAATGCTAGAGCAAGAGCAGAAGCTATTGCTGCTTTTAAATTGACACAGCTTCTTCCCACATTCTCCACAAATCACTTGGATGGATTTGGCACATTGTCCATATTCCTAATTTTGGAAAGTTTTCTGGAATTGCAGGAAGACAGAAGAAATGTTTTTTAAGTGTCCTTCTCAATGCCTTATACTGAAGTTCTTAAGGACCTTCTGTGTGCCATATAAAATATCCCAAGAAATCTATTCAGTGCAGAACTTAGGACTAGATAGTAAATCTCCAGATTGGTCTGGAAATCAAAATCACCCCCAAAACAAAGTTATGCAACTTCAACGAGTGACATTTTACATTTGTAATCTTCTAGGCATAGTTCTTAAGAGACCTAGAACATATTCAGATCTGTCTCTAGTTGCTAAATGTTCATGGGCAGTTTAGTTCTTAATTCTATTAAGACAGTCTCCACCCACTCTCCCTGTCCCACTGACAGAATTTGATCAGAAGAGCACTTCCAGAAGCTCTGTGGACACAGTGAGTAAAGTTCCCACATTCTAGAGCATGCGATCTCCTTGGTCTCCTCTTCCTCCTTATTGTCTTTCTCCTACTTCAAACATGATATCAGCTATGAGGTCTTTTTGTTCCAATCCTTTTGATTAACACCAAACATTGTAGGCCAGGTCTGCCTCAGACCTGTTCAAGAGTTCAGGTTCAGAAATGATATGAAATGAGATGCTCCAAAACTATTTAGTAGTTAGCAAAAGGTTTACTTAACTGTGTGATGGAAAGGATAGTTAGCAAAAATACAGCATTGGTTTTGTTGGGTGCATTTTCACCGACTGAGCATTTGCCATGGTAGTGTACCTTTCAAAAATGTGTGTCAAGTATTAGGAACACCTACTATCTGTTTGTTAACTTTTGTACCTAGGGGCACTGGGAAGCAACATTAATGACTTCAGCCTTAGGTACTCCATCAGTTAAGTCTCAAAGATAGTTTAATTACTTTTTAAGAAGAAACTATCTGACCCTGTCTGAGGTAGACATTTCTCTTATGACAACCTTGTATCATAATTGTGTATATGTATGTATGTATATATATATAGTGTGTATGTGTATATGTGTGTACATGCATGCGTGCTTTGGAAATTGATCTTCAAATATTTTATACATTTTATGGTTATTTGAATGAGATTTCCCTTTCTATTATTGTTTCTTGGATTTTGTAATTATTATATGGAAATGTTATTGATTTTTGTGGGTTTACTTTGTAGCCTGCGATTTTGCTGAAGCTATTATTTGTATCAATTAACATCTTTGCCGATTTGTTAGGATTTTATAAGTAAACCACCACGTCATCAGCAAATAGGGATCTAACTATCTATATCTATCTGCCTATTTATCTTTGCTGACCTCTACACATTTAATTTCTTTCTCTTGTCTTATTGCTTTTGCTAGCATTTCTAAAACTATAACGAATAATAGTGGAGAGGTTAGGCATCCTTACTTGATTTACTCCCACGTTTATTGGAAAAGCTTCTAGTGCATCCCTATTGAACATAGCATTTGCTTTTTGTTTTAGATAGATGTTTTTAATGATACTTTGAAAGTTCATCCATGCCTGTGTTTTGAAAGTTTTATTTTTTCCTAAATGAGTGTTGTGTTTTGTTGAAGACTTTTCATGTATCTCTTGCGTTAATCATGTGGGTTTGGATGTTTTTCTTTTTAACATGAATAATTATGTTGATTGTTTTCTTTTCCTGATGTTGAACCATCCTTGAATTCCTGTTGTAAGTACAACTTTGTTGCAATGAATGATTTCTTGTATAATTCACTGAAGTCCATTTGACAAGATTAAAAAAAGGTTGAATTGATTTTCGTTACTGAAATTGGTCCATAATTCTTCTACATTTTATTGTTCTATGATTTTTATATTTGGACTATATTTATCTCATAAAAGGATCCAGGCAAAGTGGTTTCTTTTTCAATTTTTGAAAATAAATTGGGTAGTATGGGTACCAATTATTTTTAAATGTTTGATAGAATCCTCCTGTGAATCCATAATGGTAAGAATTTTTTCCTTTGGGAGTTCCACTAACTGTAGTTCTATTTCCTTTTCTGTGGTTATAGTACTTTATTCTACTTAGTCTTCTGTTAGGCTATTTTGTATTTGTGAATATATTCCTTTATTTCTTCTGTGTTCTTAATTTTGTTAGCACATAAGTATGCTTAGTAGTGCTAACAATTATTTTTATTTCTTCTGGTATTGTTGTGACTTTACCCTGTTCCTTTGCTATTTTGTTTATTCAATTTTCTGCCATCTTCTTTTTAATCAGATGGGCTAAGAATTCATCAATTTTATTAACCTTCTCAAAGAACCAGCTTTTAGTTTTATCATTCTAATTTTTTTTCACAGTTTGTATCTTCTCTAATTTTTAATATATCTTATGCTTATTTTAGTATTATTTGTTTGGCTTTCCAATTTTTAAAAAGTTCATTAATCTCCTTTATTATTTTGTTAATGTATGTTTATATGTTTTCCCCTGAAGACTGCTTTAATTGCATCTCAAAAAAAATCAGCTTGTTTCATCATTATAATTTTCTTTCACACAAGTATTACTTTTGTGATTTGGTTTTTAACCCACTCATTATTTAGGATTTCATCATTAAATCTCCTTTTAAGTCTGTCTTTTGTTTGTGGTCTCTGAATGGATTACTATTTTTATTGCATTATGGTCCATAAAAGATGTGTTTGCTACTTCTACTTATTATATTTGCCTGTAATATCTTTGTGCCTTAATGCATGGTCAGTTTTGGTTAACGTTCTATCTGGTACTGGGAAGTTAATATAATTTTTATCCATCCCATTTAAAAGATGCAATCGGTCTCAGATCTAGTTTCCATGTCAATTTGTTCAGTTCTATATGTTTCTTTTTGTTTATCTTTTTGTAAAATTTGTCCAAAACCAAGAGAGGTACATTAAAATCTGCCACTATTGTAGTCTTCTTGTAATTCAGTTAATTTTTTCCTTTATGAATTTATATGCTGTGGTACTAGGAGTGTAAAGTTTGATATGATTTGTTGTTTCTGGTTCCTTTTACCATAATGTAAGTTTCCTTGTTTTTTTTGTTCCTTTTGTTGTGAATGTTTGTTTTTGCTTTGACTAATAGTATGATTGTAACTCTTGGTTTTTCAGATTTACCTAATGCTTAGCAAATTTTGTTTCAGACTCTCATTTTTGTTCTTTTTTTTTTTTAAAGGTATGCTCCTTGTAAGCAAAGGATTGTGAGGTTGTGTTTTCTTATCTAGTTTGTCATTTTTTGTGTTTATATTAAAAGTTATGAAAATAAGGTCTATATTTTTTCATTTAGCTTTGATATTGTTTTTTCCTACTGAATTATAATTTATCTTTTTTTTCCTCCTAAAGGCAGTAATTTGTCTCTTCAGTTATTTTAGCTTAATCTACTTTAAGGCAACTATTCATCTGCAGGTGGGGTGTTCTAAGACTGTTCTATAATGTATTTTCAGGCTTGTTCCTCCATCATTATTTCTTTTGGCTGGCTTTTGCTGCCTTCATTCATTTCTTTTTATACTTTTAGAGAGAAATCTCTTTTTCTCAGTTGTTATTTTGATGTTGTTTTGTTGCTAATGCCATAAGTGTCTTTCTCTTTTAAATTTGTTCTCTTTTTTTTTTCCTGAGGTAATTAATTTTATTTTCTGTGCCTTCCTTGGATCTTCTTTTTTCTATATTTTGCTTATATTTCTATTGTCTAGGGTGTTTACAAAGCCAGAATTTGCTCAGTTCTTATTTTCTTTGTAGAAATGCTTCAAATGCCTCCATCTTTTTCATTAATGGTCAAGGCTCAGTTTTGCATTTTTATATTACCTGGGTATATCCTGAGTTCATTTGCTCTTACAAACACATTGTTCCATTCCCTCTTGTGATTTCTGGTATAGGTAGAATAGTCCTATATTATTCAACTTTCCTTTCCTTCACATTTGAAAGTCTTTCTCCTGATTGCTTGCAGGATTTGTTGCTTATCATTGGAATTATTAAATTTAATCACTATGTGCCTTGGAGTTTGCATCATAAGATTTTTTTTCTTCTGGCAGCAATCTGTGGATTATTTAGATTGGCATTTTGTTGTCTATGTTCAGAAATTTGGGGAAGTTTTCTTGTATTATTTCTTGAATTGTGGCTTTCATAGTTCTTGATTTGTCATGTTCTTCTGGGAGACCTATAATCTTTAAGTTTTTTCTATACATTCTGCCTGTGAGTTCAATATATTTTGCTTTTATAAAGATAATGGTTTCTGTTTACATTACTGTTTTTTGCTTCTCTTTTCCAGATTGTCCCTCACATCTATCTATTTGCATCCCCAATCCTTTGCTTTTTCTTTTATTTCCTTGGTGAGGTTTGCTACTATGGATTCAAGTTTTTCTGTTTTGCCAATTATTTCTGCTGCACAATCCATAAGTTCTGTTTTCATAATA